TGTGGAGGTCTGATCGTTCTGCTTCCAGGACAGGCGCTAGTTTCCTGCCCCTTATCGTCTCCCTCAAGCTTGATAGTAACGTCGTTTGTCAGTGGGGGAAAGTAAGGCACAGAATTATGTAATTATTCACATTAGAAGACTACAGATGGACAGAATTTCTCTGGGAGGGTATATATGGAGCCGCTAACCATAGTTGTCCTGAATCAGGTAACTGAGTGGTGGAACATGTGTTTTAAAACTTGATACCATGGTAGTGTGTGAAGTATAGTCAGGCTGAACCGGACATGAGAGGGTGCAGCTGGCCGCATTTAGAGATTCATTCCCCTCATAGTCGCTGGTGCTCACAGCATGCCTGGCAGGGCGACATGGGGAACGCTGGGGTGGCCACGGGCAGAGATGGAGTGTGACTGTGGACAAGCACCTTTATTGTGATTCTCACAGGAAACCTGGCAGGAAGAGTGGGGATTTTATTGGTTGACCATATTAGACACTCATGTCTTGGGGCTTGCAGCCTTTATAAAAGGGGGAACTGGGAGAATAGTATCCAGCTTTAGCACCTATTGGCGGAGAAGGGTTACGTGATGTGGGTGTGTTCTGTTTACCTATTCCAAATAAATATGAGAAATACAAAAACTAGGTTCTGAAAGGGGGTCATGGAGTGGGAAGGGTGTTGACCGAGAAGTCCATGGTTTCAAACTTGAAACTCATATAGAAAGTCCCAAGGGCGAGTCTTTGAATGACAATTATTGGTTCGCAGTTGGAGCTGCATTCTCGGGTGCTGACTTGGGGCTGTTGGTGGATGTTGGAGGCAGCGCAAGGGATCAGCCAGCAGGTCTTATTGTACAAGTCCCTGGGTGATGGGAATGAGCTGCTGGTTGGGACAGAACAGTGGCCTGGGTCTTCCCCTAGGGCACTCTGTGTGAGGACTGGCTGGCGGTGCACTGCTGTTGGCCTTTGTCCATCTGCCAGGTGGCCCGGGAACTCAAGATGAGGACCTCCCAAAGCTATGAAGTCTGGGAAGCTCCTTCTATTAAGGACGCCCTGGTTTGAGAGAACAAGAGAACTCCTCCCTGTTACCTGCCTTTCTTGTCTCTGTACTTTCCTCCCATGCTCCCCTCAGTAGAAAGATGTTCTTTCCTGTTCCCACTGAAAGAGTGCTAAAATAAAAGATTCCCCCTCGGCTGTGTCTACTGTTGTTCTCATTTTACACACGCTCCTGCCAGAGAGTCTGTTATTTGCTGTGCCAGTCTAGCCATACCAGGAAAATTCTAGAGGGGGAGTTTTGTGCCCCCACCATCCACCTAGAGTTTGGGAAGATTGCATGGTTTTCCAACTTCATACTGCCATCCTCTCTGGAGGAAGAATTGTTGGGAGGTGCTCTGATGGCCTGGTGGCACAGTGGGTTACATGTTGGGCTGCTAACCCCAGGGTTAGCGTTTGAAACCACCAACTTCTCCGAGGGAGAAAGATGAGACTTTCTACTTTCAGAAAGCTTTGTAGCCTTGGGAAACCACAGGGGCCGTTCTACTCTGTCCTATCCAGTTACTGTGAGCCAGGATGGACTTGATGGCTGCGCGTTTGGCTGGGTTTTTATGCTGTGTTATGCTTTCCCCAAAGACCAGTGATGGGGCAAAGAGATGCTTGCTTTTAGTTAGCACCTCACCTGGGCACTAACTATCATAGAAGCACCTAGGGACTGTCACTCCCTTGTCCTTTAGTTCAGATGGCATAAATGTGATTGCCTCAGGTTGGTGTGAATCTTGAACACCTTGTGCATTTCCTTTAGGACCCAGGCTTAGAGTCTCGGATCCACCCCTGCGTCGGCCACATGAGGGGAATCCCGTGTTTTTGTTCAAGCAGATGACCAGCACAGCAAAGATGTGACAAGATTGGGCTGGAACTGCCCTTTCCACTTACTAAATGGGTAACTGTCTGAAAGCCTCTGAGCTCTTCTATGCCTCAGTTTCCCCCTCTATAAAATGAGGGCCAGTAATAGTGCTGACCTCACAGGTCATGAGGGTTCTGATGATGATGGAAGATACTTTGCATGTCTAGCCAATTGTAAACAAGAGAGGGCAACACACACACACACACAAACACACACTGCCCCCAACCAATTACCATTGAGTTGATTCCCACTTAAGGTGGCCCTAAGTGCAATAGAGGACAATGGTGTCCCAGAGAGTTCTCAATGGCTACTTTTGGGGGAACTTTTGGGGCTACTTTTGCCAGGCCCTTTTTCAAGGCAGCTGGGTGAACTTGAACCTAAAACCTTTCCACGAGCACCTAGGAGCCTGGCAAGCAGTAGTGACTCAATAAACACGAGCTATTATCATTACTGTAGAATTACACAATATGTGTAGTACAGTGTGCAGGTTTTCCATTTGCACTTGTGATAACAAGTTTTCTTTTAAGATAAATTTTAGATTAAAATGGTGTTAGATATAGGCTGTGTAAATATATATAGTATGTGTCTTAAAAAATAAGAGGTAGCGGACAAATGAAGAGCCGATACCAAGTGCTCAGGTAGTAAGAAAATATTTTGAAAATGATGATGGCAACAAATGTACAAATGTGCTTGACACAATGGATGTATATAAGGATTGTGATAAGAATTTTACAAGCCCCAAATAAAATAATTATATATATGTATCCCTCCTGGGGTGAGGACCAGGAAGTATGGCAGGGCCATACCAAATCCAGGGATACATATGGTAGTCAACTAAAAAAAAAAATTAAAGGAAAAAAATTAAAATGAAAGGGTAGTGGGGGAACAGGGGACTAACCCACCCAAGGGGAGGGTATTGTTTATATCTCCACAAGGAACGAGGAACCAGACTTCAACCCCATGCTCCAAGATGTGAATGCAACAGCCTGGCATGGAGTACGGAACCAGTGGAGAGGTCTGAGGGGCCG